GTGATACACACCATGAACAATGTGATATCCAAAATAAAGTAATTAATCTAAATAAAGTAAATTGGAATATTAAACTAATTAAACTAAATTGAATAATCAACCCAAATTACTAATTTACCTTTTTATATATTTTTTAAGAAAAATATTAATTATCTTAAATGATTGGCTTACATTGGATCTCACAGTTATCACAATCTAATTAGTTCTCTCTCTCTCTCTCTCTCTCTCTCTCTCTATATATATATATATATATATATATGAAAGTGGCCGAAGACGAGCTTCTTGCTTTGACTTGCTTCAACGAGTCTCATGTTTTATCGTATATAAGAAAAAAATACGTCCAAATTATAAACATCTTACATCCGAATCAAAATCCCAGTTACTTCCAAACTTCTATATCGATCTCTTACAAAATACAAGATCTTCTTATTCTGTACACAGTCCCAAATATCAACAAAAAATATAAACAAGTTTACTCGAGCATCTTCTGCAGACATCAAGAATATTCTTCATCACGTCAAGAAAAAAACAAGTAATTGAATACTTAATTATAAAAAAATATGTTTTAATATTATGCTAGCAAAAATGAACTTTAACTGTCTCAATCTATAAATATACGTTATTTAGTTATACTATATAAACACGTGTCTCGATCTATAGATATACATTACTTAGTTATACTTTATAAACACGTTACGTCACGTTGCGACAAAACAAAAAGAAATTTCGATAGAGATGGTAAATTAAATTAATATATAGTAGTAAAAGAAGACGTGATCCAAACGAAGGTGTAAGCATCCATAAGTCATTAAAGAGCCTCTGCAACAAGAACATGGACGATCAAAACCCTACTCATTATCGTTTTCTTTTAAGATTCAAAATTGGAAAAATCATCAAAATAACTAAATATATTCGATATATTAACGAAATAACCATTTTTTCACGAAATTGCCAAAACGACCACATGGATCTCCCGGGGGAGGGGGGATCCATGACCATAGGGGCGATCCCCTTCTTTTTGAACAAAAAAGTACAAAAAATAATTAAAAAAATCATTTTGATGGGTCCCACATGCATCACTTTATTTTTATTTTATTTTTTTCATTTTTTTAATATCGATTAAGGGGTGTTTTTAATAAATATGAGACGATATTTAAACAATTTTTTTTACCTTTTTAGGATCAAATGTCATGGTTTTAGTATATAAAATAAAACATTTTTATTCTCACAACCTGTAAACATAATCTACCGTGACAAACTTTATAAAAAAATGATTGTACGTGAAGATTTCTAATTTTTACCAAAATTTTTTAAAAGCATAAACTAAGCAACGAATGTTGTTATATTTTTTCTTATAAGAAAGAAATGGTCATGGATCGCCCCCCGGGGGAGATCCATATGGTCGTTTTGGCAATTTCGTGAAAAAATAATTATTTCGTTAATATATCGGGTATATTTTGGTCATTTTGGTGATTTTCCCTTTAAATATCATACGGATCAAATACTTGTTATTTTTCTTTTATTTTTGTTAAAGAATTTTGTCATCTCTTTTTACAAACCCAAAAACTCGTTTAAACTTAAAAACCAGTTTTTACAGTGTTTATATAGTATTGTTTCTAGAGCTAAATCTAGAAATTTAGATCATTGCACTATTACAAAATTGAGGGTTTTATAGGAAACAACCAATTCATAAGCGTCCTTAATAGACCACTTTATAAAACTTAATTTATGGGACCAAAAAAATAAAACGTTATGTCTAAAGGCGTTGTAATAAGATTTTTAAGAGTAACATTAACAATTTTATAGGACGTTATTTGAAAAAGTATCTTATAAAAAGATGAGTTTATAGGAACTTTCTCAAAAGTAACCTATGAAATTGTTAATATGACGCTTTGTATTGAAAGTGTCTTAAAAAACTTGTTAGATTATCCAAAAAAGTCCTATAAACTTGTTACAACGCTCATTTAGATATGACACTTTATTTTTGTTCTTATAAACTAAGTCTTATAAATTAGTTTATTAGCACGCTTAAGAATTGATGACGTCCTATAAACCCAATTTTGTAGTAATATTAGAGACACATTTAAGGGTATAAAAAATCTGAAGCTATCCAAACTAAAATGGTTTCAGATTATTTAGTTTTAGGTTAAATGGTTGGTCGCTGTTATTTTTTTTTTTTACTATTTCGACCAAACCAAAAATAGATTATACTATTATTTTATTTATTTTACTTTTATAAAGCTTATTGATCATTACTCTTGAAAATAGGGACAATTGGGGGCAGAAAGCTAAAAGGATGGGGGCTATGTGATAAATAAGGAGAAAGTTTAGGGTAAAATTTTAAATTATTCTTATTTGGTTTCATATATGAAATGGTGATGACTTCTTTTTTATACACAAAGCAGTTTTAAGTGTTTGTTATATAAATACTGTATTTTCGCATCTATAAATATATAAAAATATTTATTATTTATTTGGTTTGTAAATACGAAAATTGAAGTTTTCACATTTCAAATGAGTTTCAAATTGTCGATAATTATTGTCTTAAAGGAAATGTATTGTTCAATTTGGTTTTTTTTGTGTTATTTATGGGTTTAATTTTTTTTATAAATACTAATAATAAATTAATTGTTTTCATTATGAATTTTGTAAAATATTACTCTACCAAAAGAGACAAGAGTTTGGTGAAGTCCAAGATATAATCATACCAAGGACCAGATCCTCAATTTTAGCTACCAATAATTAATTTTAAATTATATATATAGGGTTGGGTTCACGTGTGTTTACGTGAGATTCGTGAGACCACTTTTTTTATACTTGAAACTTTATAGTAAAATGTTGTGAAGGTAAAAAAAAAGGCGAACTTTTATAGTAAAAATACTTTGAAGGTTACCTTGACAGAAGTTTCAAGTATAAAAAATGGTTTTACGGATCTGATAAAACAAGTTGGTCTCACATGATCTCAAGTCTATATATATATATATACATTTATTTCATCCCTTGTATAAAAATTATTAGGTAGTTATCATCCTGAAAAATTCTTCCAAGGACCATAATTAATTAAAAAAAACTTTTTTTTTTTGAATTATTTGTTCATAATATACATATATACATATAAATACATTTACATGTAGAGAGAGAGAGAGAGAAAGAGAATAGCTTCAGTCTTACAAGAAAAAACAAAAAAGACCATAAGCATCTTGAAAGGTATATATGAGACAAAGAAGGGAGAACTCAAAAATGATATATATATATATATATATAAGTTATGTATGTATAATTGAACAAATAATGTATATTTGTGCACAGAGGTTGGAAGAGAAGAGAAGGTACCAAGATATGATCTTGAATAGGTTTATGGATATGGACTACGGAGTAGGAAGAAAGCCATAAGGCTCAAGATGGATAGCGTCTTCATCAGTTGATATCATCAATATACATAAGATGCATCTGGATGTAGGCGCTATCCCTCCTGAGCTTTACAGATTATTCTCTACTATTTGGTATAACTCATTGATGCTAATTTACTTTCATATTTTCTTCCAAAACCTTCTTATGTGTGTGTGTGTATATATACATATACTTTGTGTGTGTATATATATATATATATATATATGTATGTATATGTATGTAGACATACATAGAGTAGTGGGGGAGAAAGCCAAAGGAGAAGGTGGTATTTATAGGGGTGGGGGTATGGTTGTATTGATTTGATGATGGGAGAATGAATTGAATGGTCGGTTTATTACCAAACAATTTATGGGGTTGATCTTTGGTTGATGGCCGGACCCATATATACTTCTATTTCTATTTATTTATTTACTTATAATATACCATAAACAAAAAAATATATTATATGTAATATCAAAAATAATTTATGCGACTCATATATTAGAGGTTGTTTGTTTATCTCTTAATAATTTCATTAAGAAGCAGTCTTTGAATCACTAGAAGATGGATCTTATTTTATTATTTTATAAAATTAAAAACAAATTAATTATTAGGTTACGTTATAGAAATCAAGTTCTTCACACTAATGTAAGGATTTTGTATTTGATTTGATCAACTAGAATATATCTACAATGCTAACAAATTATGTATTGTTATCAGTTAGCCTTGTAACATTGAATACTTTGAATGGATTCCGTTTAAATTTAATATTTAAGAGTTGTTTATCAAACATTTATTGTGTATTACAGGATAAGTAAATTCTTATCAATAAATTTAAAGATGTTTACCCGGTAAATGAGAATGATAACCCTTAAAAGTAAATTCTTATCAATAAATTCTTGTGTGTGAGTATGAATATCTGGTTCATGTATAAACGTATTTTTTTCACATGGAAAACATTAGTTGACGTTTCATCTATGATACAACACCGCATGAACAATACATGTTCACATGTGTTACTTCATCTATGAAACAACACATACAAACCGGTGTGTTTCAGACGGTTTTTATTTGATTTACCCATACATATAGGGGTAGGTTCAATCACGAACCTAGTTCCCATTGTGAACCTGGAACAAACGAGAGTGTGAAAGTGGCATATATTCATCATTAATGTTGTAAAACATTCACATTCTCGTTTGTTCGTTGATTCACAACGGAAGTTAGATTCATAACTGTACTCCCACCTCTCTCTACGCATGTGTGTGTGTGTATATATATATATTTATTTATATATTACAAGGTCAATTCAAATTAAAATGCTAAATGTCGTGAAAATGTAAGAAATGAAGGTTCGTATGTGAATCATTGGAAAAATCAATGTGAAAATACATATGTGAATCTATATGAATAATTTGCAACATGGTTCACTTATGCATATTCAAAACGGTTCTTCTGAATTTTTAAATAATTCACATATGCATCTTCTGACGATATTTAGTTTTTTTATTTGAAACTCCGTATATATATATATATATATATATATATATATATGTTTTGTATACATTATAATAGCACTAAAACATATGAACCATAATCAAAGCTACTTCTTGTGAAATATATTTTTGTCATTTCAATAAATATACACACAATAAAATAGAGATATCTCCATAATCACATATGAAAAACACAATACACAATCTCCATGTGGAAAATATCAACCAATTTCACAAGATATTTGTTTGTAGATATTTTGCTCTATCACCTTTTTAGTATCTTCTCATGATTCCCTCTTCACAAATCTTCCCTATAAAAAAAACAAAGTGTCATTCATATATATATATATATATATATATATATATATATATATATAGTATACACTGATACTTAAAATAATGTTTTAAAACACAATTAATAAGCTACAACCTTGAGTCTTGGTCTTTTATCAGCATTGAGCTTTCGAACTTGATATCTTATTTTTCTGGAAAACAATCTGTTATTACGCTTCTTTCTGTATCTGAGAACACTTGCTTCTCTTTTTGTTCTTGCTTCTTCCATCACCGGCACCTCTCCCATCTACAACATTCAACACAATATATTGTCTGTTTCGTTGGTTTTATACAACATATTCAATATGGAAAAGATCAAGCATTGAAAGTTTCAACGACAAACATCTTATTTTTACATGTCATGAAGCGTATTTCATAACAGATAACACAAAAGAAGAAAAAAAAAAAGTTAAAGCAGAAAAGATAAAATGCTGCAGCAATAAAAATACTATTTGTAGCAGTTCCGAGACTCTTGAAGATTGTTTGAGAAAAGAGAGCCCAAGAAAAGAAAACCCATAAAAATTCCTACTGATTCTACTTTGACAAATTGAAAGTATCTAACAACAGAAAGCATGAGTTTTGACCTATGGCTTTGAGAATTTGGGAAGTTTCTGAAGCCTTTTTTTTTTTGGTAGTACTAAAACGCAAATGAAATTTGAAAATGTAGCAACTAACATAATAATCATTGGAGGTCGAACGAGTAAAATCATTTGTCAAACATGGACCGCGATTGGACCATGCATCCATAACTTCTTGGTAATTCAAATTCAAATTCAAATTCAAACACGAATTCTTCTCCTTATCTTCTTGATCTTCATCTTCTTCCTCTTTCCAAATCCCACAAATTTCTCTTTTTATGTTTCCAATCAAATTGACCATATTACCCTCTCGATTTTCGGACTTGTCATTTGTCAAACCTTGATCCTCTTCATCAATTGAGAATTCATCCCATTCCATTAAATAATCCAAATCGAATTCTTCGTATGTCGAACTCACAATACCTTCTGTTTGATTCCCTCCATCTTTAATTCCCCAAGTACCCTTGAAATCAGATAGATTATCGTCGTTGCTTTCGAAGAATTCAGCTATTACCGAGTCAGGAACTGTTTGCTCTTCTCTCTTTGGAGATTTTAACACAAAATTTTGCCTCATTTTTCAATGTGTGTGTGTGTGTGTTTTGGAGATTCTTGAACTATGATATGCATGAGGGTTGTGGGATGTGTGTGAACAATAATATGGGGTTTGGGTTGGGCGGCTTTTGGTTGTTCTTTTTGTTGGCTGACGTGGCCTTATCTTTCTCTTATTGGCCAGACATGCATCCTACGTGGCATTTGTGACTAAATAATGTAAGGTCTCAAATAATTTAGGATATTGCTTCCAATGATTTCCGATCGAATTGGATTTATTTTGGAACATGGATGGTTGTGTTTTTTAATTAATAAAGCCTTTTGAATTTTAATATAAAATCATAACAAAAAAAAATCCAAAAATCATTTCTTACAACAAAAACGGGTTTATAAGATGTTAAAAATTGATTTATTAAAAAAACTAATATGGTATTTTAATTTTTTAAGTGTATTAGGATGATGAATTAATAAAATATTTTAATAATATAATTAATGTTTAAATCATTGAAATAAATTAGTTATTATGGTTGAATGTAGTTATTTTTAGAGATTTTTTTTATTTTAAATATTATATTTAAATAAAATATAGTATAATTGTTTGAATTGCTCTAATTTGTATTAATAAAAACTAGAAGAGTACTCGAGCAATGCAGCAAGACACATCTCGATTTTAATATTCTATTTTATTTTTTGTCGATGTTATAATACGATTTTATGTGTTTTTAAGAAAGCAATAATGATTTTATTTTTGAATAAAATATAAATTTGAAGATATAATAAAAATTTGAAGAAAAAAATATATCAATGTTAATATCAAATCAACTATTTAAAAATTCTCATTTTTTATGTAATTTCTTTAATTTATTAATTTTATTATAATTTAATTTAAGTTTAATAATAAAATAATTTAATTTTGGTTTAATAATATAACTTTTATAAAAAATAATCGTTAAGTATTCTGTTAGATATCAATGATTATCCTAATTATATTTTAAATTTTTTGCATTTAAAATGAAATGTTTATCCTGTATTTGATTTATGTTTATTTGCAGTTAGTTACACGAATTTAGATATGGAGCTTTAATAAGTTGTACTTACGCACAATCTACTTGCAATATTAAGTTGTAAGTAATATGTATTAATAAACAGTACTTTACGTATAAAAAGCAGTTTTTAAGAATTTATGTCAAATGCTTTATAATATAGTATAGATATAAACATTCATGTTGACAAGTTGTTTGATGCGTAGTGGCATTAATGGGCTTCCAGTAATCGTTGTTGTGAGCCCAGCTGCTTGGTCATTTTGGGCTCAAACTGAAGCCCAACCCAATCAAAATTAATTCCATTTTAAAGTTTAGTTAAAATATTAAAAGAAATTGATTTGAAATTGCATGTGCCTTAATACCCATTTAAGTTTTTAATTGGTTTATTAAAAATTAATATTTAAGGTACACACTTACAACAACATATACTTAGGATATATTTACAAAACGTTTTCGGGTAAGTGTTTATCGGTAAATTCACATTATCACTTATTTATCATGTAAGATTTTAGTCCATTAAAACGGTATTTTATGCAATAATTTACCCAGTAAGTGCTAACCGTAGTAAGAGTCGTCACACTCACTTACCGGGTAAGACTCTCGGACTTTGTCATCGCTCTTACCGGATAAGATTTTTGTTCCTTGCCATATTCATTCGATAAGGTAATGCGACTTGGTAAGTGCTTACCCGAATAAACGTTGGTAAACGGCCCCTTAAACGGCTATTTACTCAAATGTGTACTCCGTAAGCTCTTACTATTACGATTTAACACCATCATTTATTTTATTGAGTAAGATTCTAGTATATTAAAATTTTACTGTCTGCAACAACTTACATGGTAGACGTTAACCGGGTAAGAGTCGTCATCATCACTTACAGTGTAAAACTCTTTGTCCTTGTCATTGCTCTTACTGGGTAAGATTCTCGGTTATTGTCATGTTCATTCGGTAAGGTAGGTGATTTTATAACCACTTACTAGGTAAATGTTTGGTAAACAGATCCAACTTTTCAAATGTATAAATATTAAAGTATAAAATATATATGCACTTGGAATCTGAGGATAGGCTGGGACTAGAAATGCCGGATTATAGTAGGCTCTGATAGAGGACCAATTAAGACCAAAAAATGCCCGTTCAGACCTATACTTTTTCGTCAGAGACTAGTTACATGAGGGTCCATTCATAGCCCAGTATCAAATCCGCTTAGGACCGGTCAACGGGACCATCAAGACTCACCTAGTCACCTATGCTCGGTTACTCTAACTTTATTACATACTCGTTTTATTATGTCATCAGTGGTTACAGTTCATGCGAAAATATCATTACCTAGTATTTCTTTTTAAGAACACTACCAACTACAATAATTGCTTTCAAAAAGTTAGAGGACAAAATGCACGAAATAGCAATATATTTTCATAAATTTTCTTATTATAGCATTGCACTTTCATTTTTTCTTATTAAAACAATGTATATTCAAATTATTTTTTATTAAGATATTGTACTTTGAAAAATGTACCTATTATAATATTGAATAACTTTTTAGATTATATTTAAATAACATGACATAAGTTACCATGTTTCTATGTCATCTAATTGTTCACACAATTAATTTAAATACAATTTTTGATAGTCGACTACATTAATTAATCTAATCGTAGAAACTGGTATATACCAAAATTCTAAGGGTCCTACTACAATAGTTTATAGGGCCGTTTACCAAACACTTACCCGGTAAAATTTAACGTTGTCATTTACTTATCGAATAAGATTTTAGTCCACCAAAACGACATCGTATGCAACAATTTACCCGGTAAACGCTTACCATGGTAAGAGTCATCGCCCTCACTTATCGGGTAAGACTCTTAGCCCTTGTCTCGTTCTTACCGGGTAAAATTCTTGGTCTTTACCATATTCATCCAATAAAGTAATATAACTTGATAAACACTTACCCGGATAAGTATTTGTATAACTTTTAAACGATTCTATAAAAATATATTATATCAGATATACATTATCCGTCACTATTTTATTACTATCATAATTATTAATAATAATTACAACAAAATTATAAGAATGTGATTCGATGTTTTGTAGTAGTAGGTAAATGACAAATTGGAAAACAGATTACCTGATTATATGAAAATGTACTTCACGTTTTTATACAATGTAACTTTATTTATAGATTATTATATAAATTAAATATATGAAATTATTTAAAAAATTTAACTATAATTTATTAATTTTATTTTGTTAA